CACGAGTATACTTGCCTTAAATATAGTATATACTCAACAGATATTTGTTGAATTAAATTAAACTGACTTTCAATCCCAGACCGAGTTTCCAAGGAGAGTACTAATATCCTTACTGACTGGCCAGCCCAGCTGTGAGAATTAGACAAAACAGATCAGTTCTCAAAAAACAAAATTATGACTAAACATTGATAAAAAATAAAATAGATTGTTTATAGTTTAGCTCTTACAGGTTTAATAACTATGAATGAATGCCAAATTTAAATTGGGGGAAATTGAATTGTATCTATGTTTATAATTAGTCACTATTCTAAAGGCCAGATGAGCTAAAGACTTAACCTTCAATTGCCTCCATTTATTAACAATATAAAGTCTTTTAATATAGTTATAAAAAAAAAAAGCAGACCAGTTTGGCCCAGCTGCTTGTGGTTTTATAGGATACCTGTAAGGTAATGATGACTGTAGTAATGTATGGTCTGGGGAAAGACGGGCCAAGATTATTCCCTGGGGACATTAGAGTATCCATTTACATGATGTTACTAGAGTACTTTGGGGGGGGTACATCATTTGCATCCTCATAATTACATGGGAACTAAGTAAGTACCATTTAGACAATGGCCAAGTGAGCCTCGCAGCTTGTGGACAGGACCATTGGGTGCAACATTTCTACTGGGTGATACAATGTGTGGCTGCTAATAGGTCCTAGCATTAAGCACATGAATCATATGGTGACAGTGACACCAACTGCCCTCTTCAGAAGCCTAGAAACACTTCCAGCTGTTGAGGCTGCAGGACAAAGGGAAACTTAGTGTTTCTCTAAGGTTCTCTGAGACCATCAGTATCAGAATGACTTAGGCACTTACTGAAAATGCATATCCCTGGGTCGCCAATACAGAATATCAAACTGGTCTCTCTGGAGTGGGAGCTAGGAATTAGTTTCTAGACAAGGTCTATGAAATGACTGTTATGCACAATAACATTTGAGAACTGCCATTTGCGTGTCCCGGCTCTGCCTGTGACAACGTGTGGTGGTGCCACCCAGTGGTGTGTTCTCTACAACCATGTTCTTTGCTTGGAAGCAGCCTGGTGTTTAGTGCTTTAAATGGCCCAAATCTGGCTGACTCAGGCTTTGGGGGGTCCTAACTGCTATCTGCTAAACAATGAAACAAGCTGCCACAGGGTCAATTTGATTGAGTTGTTCAGTTGGTCAGAACAAGCCAGAGATCAATGAATAGCCTGATTATTTAGGGCCATATGACAATGGAATCAGGTGAAGCCAGGTAATGCAATTACCAGGAATTGACTTGTGACAGCCAATCTGGGTGGCTTTAAAAAGGCAGTCACTGTATAAGATGACCCAGTGACTTCCTGTTTTCAGTGTATATGTATCTCACTATCTGAGCAGGCCACCGATGGAGGGAGGGCTGGAGCAAAATTCTGCTTCCTTGACATACTTTGACTATTCTACTCAGCTAGTTACCAGCCATCTTTATCATCTTTTTTATTTCCCCTTGTGACCTATAATTATATTATGTTACAGGAGATACCCATGCTCCTAATATCTGACAAAAAAAAGTTTCCAAACTGTGTTGATTTTTAGTCATTTTTAAAGGTCAATAAATTATATCAGCAACCTTAAGAAGTTAAATGAATACTTAAAATGGTCTCACCTTACAGTGACCATATTACAACATCTCTATTTTGGGGATATAATCACCTTTGTCAGACGCTAAGCATTGGCAGTTGTTTCAGAAGTTCAATGATTTGGCTGTCAGGAATCATGAGCTATTTTTGAGCTGCTCTTCCTGCATGGAGGATGATGGTGGTTTTTCCATGTGGCAGCATTACATGTACTGGGTAGACATACAATGACTGCAAAAAGACAAGAAACTGGGCCTGAGTGGATCTCAGTGGGTGCAGGGGACTGACTGCTGATGGGCTCATATCCTCCTTGTGATCAATCAATTTAAAATTGTTTACAGAGGCACACATTGGTCCCAGAACTCAGAGAGGTGCTGAAAGGGGGAGAGAAATCCCAGTTGCCACTGTGGAGGAAGTTACAGTCACTGTTCTGATCATATGTAACTCTGCTGGTCGTGGAAATTTGAAAGTTATTTGGTGTAACCTATACAGATGGTGTTCATTCTGCTGCAACTAAGTTAAAATAAGAGAAATCACAAACTCTGAGCCAAGGTACACAGATAAGCAGTGGGACAGAATTCCCAAGACTCCAGAAAATAACAAACAAAACAAATTAAACCAATATGTTATCACATGACCATGATTGTAATGATTATAATGTTTGAACAACCAAGTGACTTATTCTTTCTGGGAAATAGGTAATAGCTCTTGAGCAATAAGATTAGGGGCAAAACAGCAATTTTTTGTGTAGTTGAATATTTTCCTACACTGGACTGTGTGTGTGTGTGTGTGTGTGTGTGCGCACGCGCACACATGTGTTTATTTAAAGTAATGTACTCTATGGAGAATTTTTTTCTCTTTTTTAATATGGAGATATTTATAAATACAGTAGTACATAAATGTATATGTACAGCTTAAAAATAATTATATGTTAATATCTAACCACCATCAGTTCAAGAATTATACTATTGCTACCACCCTAGAAACCACACATTATGCTCACCACCTGACCCTGGTAACCACTAGCATAATGTTTGTGATATATATTTATGTATGTGTATATACAAATACAAAATGTATACATACTGCAGTTTTCAGGGTTCCCCATGACCAGCTCACTTCTGACACCAGTTGCAAGTTAGGGGTTCCCTAAAACCAACCTCAGGTTCTATAATTTCCTGGAAAAACTCACAGAACTTATCAAAGCTGTTGTGCTCATAGTTATGATTCATTACAGTGAAAAAAACAGATATTAAAACCAGCCAAGGGAAGAGACATATGGGGCAGGGTCCAGGAGGGTTCTAAGTACAGAGCTTTTAGTGGTCCCCTCCCAGTGGAGTCGTGTGGACAGTGCTTACCCCTCTCAGAAATGATGTGTGGCAATTTGTACACAGTACTGCCAACCATAAAAACCCACCCAAGCCTTGGTGTCCAGGGTTTTTCTTGGGGCTCAGTCAACATAAATATGGCTGGTCATCTGCAGGGCTGACTTTGTTTCCAGCCCCATCAGAAGTGGAGTCGATACTATGTGGTCCAAGGCTCCATCTATAGGAACACAAATCCCATTGGTGGAGTACGTTATCTGGTACAACCCGAGGTCCCCAGGTGAATTGGTGAAATAGATTATCTGATACAACCCGAGGTCCCCAGGTGAACAATGACATTCTTATCAGACAGGATATTCCAAGGGTTTAAAAATTATCTCCCAAGAGCCAAGGACGAAGGCTAGACCTCTCTTTGGGCAAAGTTAATTCTTTACTGCACATATATAAATATATCTTTTCACTACAAATATAGTTTGATCATGTCTGTTTTGATCGTCATAGAAATTCTTAAGTAGTATATGCATTATATATATATATATATATGCACACTTCATGTAAATATGTAAACCTTTTGGACTTCATATAAATCATTTCATGCATGTTTTTATATTGTGTTTTGCTTCTTTCAAGAGTTGCTTCTTATCTGTTCCATATTGAATGAACATTCTAGACATGTCATCAAATATGAAAGACAGCCTCGAAGTCTTATTATAAAATAAAAAGGGGATTTGATAAATAACTAGAGTAACTATAGTATAGCAATGAAGCCAGCCTAGAACTGCCTGCACAAACAGCCCAGAACTCCATTTGTTCATGAGTGTACCCCTCATAGTTTGCAGTGAGCAGCCTAAATGATTCCAGAGTGAAATACAGTCATTTTTATTTCAATGGTCTGAAAAGCTATCATTCGCCTGTCTATATTGACCAGCCTCAGTTATTAGGATCTCATCACATTAGACCTTCTTCCCCGCCCCCAATATCCCCAATGAAGATAAAATCAACCACAGCCTAAGCCAGGGATCAATGCATTTTCCCGTAAAGAACCAAACAGTAAATATTTTAAGACTTGCAGGGCATATTCTTTGTGTTCCAACTACTCACCTCTTCTGTTGTGGAATGAAAGCAACCACAGACAACATATAAGCAAAATGTGTGTAGCTGTGTTCCAATAAAACTTTATGAACACCAAAATATGAAATTTGCATAATTTTCACAATTAATATGAATAATATGAAATGTTATTCTTTTGATATATTTTCAACCACTTAATAAGGTAAAAACCATTCTTAGCTCATGAGTCATATAAAAACAGGTAGCAGCCTAGATTTGGCCCCCACTATAGTTTGCGAATTCCTGGCTAGGCCAGTACATTTGGGGGTTCTACAATTTGGGCTTAGGTTTTCCATTTATAACAGAATATTCCTTACTGCTCCTATTCCATCAATCTTATACCACTGGCAACCACAAAGATGAATTGTAACTCATCTAAAACATGTTAGAACCCAGTTAGTGTTGCTTGGCCAAAAAATTTTACAATAAGCAATTTTACAGTAAAGCATTACACCAGAACAACTAGCTAATGTTCTAGATTTTACCACCTACATAGAACAAACCAAGCATATTCCCATAATTATCCTCTTCCATCAAGTCCCTGGATAGAAGGGCATTCATTTTCATCCTCCCCTGCAATTCAATTGATGTGGATAAAATAAAAGCTAGTTACCACAAACATTAGTAAAAATCTTATTGGCATGAATGTGGCAGGAATCAATTAATGCCACACCATCATTTTCTTCTGATGAGGACTGAACAGTTCCCTACCCCTAAGTTTCACTCCTGCCTTCACTTTAGGTCAGTGAGCACAATGAGCAATTTGCAAGAGCAATATTCATCTCACTTGCTGAATTGTTCTACATTGCTTTCATTTGCACTTTTTCTTTAACAAAAAAATGAGCAATTTTTAAAAATTACATGTTAGCATAGACTCTCTCAGATTAAAGGACTGAACTTAATTACTTTTATGTTTTTCATCTTTAGGTCTACAGAGCTAGAAGAAAGAGTGATCCAGACAAGCAAGGTAAGAGCTTGCTTCTTTTGCAGCCTTACTGTGGATTGCTGAAAGATACCTGCTACAAGGTGGTGATGGTGGTTTCTGCATGTGGATTTCATTTTCTGTTTTTTATAGTTTGTGGTATATAAACATTTCTGATGTTTCTTTTTGGATTTTTCTCCTCTGGATTTTGTTTACTGTTGAGTCTGATTTGTTGTCTCTTTGGATCACATTTATACCAAAGCTTCTACCTATTGTTGAATACTTGCATTTCTGTATGACCATTTGATTTCACATTCCTATACTACTATTGCTCTTATTTTATTTAGTTTATCTAACACATTGGCTTCTTTTAAAAATGTATATTTTGAATAAGGTTATTGGAAGAATGTTCAGAAAATTAAGCCTATGAGTATAGTTCTGAGATTGGACGCAGTGAACTATATGCCAACTCCATCAGTCCTGAATTGACAAAATGGCCTCCCAGGCCCAGTGACTCAGGGTCACTTCTGCCTATTCATACCACTCAGCAAAATTCTGTGGAAAGAGATCGTGTTTTTGGGGTTTTTTTTCTTTTCTGTGATTTTGAATATCAAAATAACAATATTTGAATGTAAAAGAATAACTAATTCTCCTTCTTAAATAAGTTAATTCAGGGGCACTTTCCCTAATGTAGTATTTCCACATTTAGAATAAGTGAAGATATATGCACGGCCCAATTTTCAAGACAGCCTGGAACATACACGGAAACTAATCAGCCATTTTCAAGTCATCCTCACAGATAGGCTATTCAGAATCCTTTTTCTTTTTCTCTTAGGTTTTTAAACATCATTGCAATTGAATATTGAGGACCACAAACTCTGGAACATTGTTACTAATAAATGATTCCTATTAATAGCAAATTCATTCATTAGAGCTTTTTAATTTGTTTTGGTTTTGTTGATTTTCATGCTTATGTTTTTCATTTAAAAAAAATACATTCCATTTTTCTGTTTCTTTTCAATGTTTTAATCCAATTACCAGCCCTGTAAACAAGCGATTGCCACATCTACAGTAGGTGCACTGAACTGTGAGGAGAAGTGATTTCTGATTACAGACAGGCTAATTTTCAAGGAACAAGGGGAACAAAATGCAGTGAACTGCATAAAAGAATAATGGTAAATACCTTGTTAGGTGACATATGGCACAGATTTAGAGCACAGATGGGAAAGGGAAAAGTTACTTAATCCTAAAATACATATGCATTGCATGGATAGAAGTTGCTATCTAGCTCCTTTATGATCTGCTTGGTTATGAGAGGAAAAAGATTTTATACATTTTATTGCTCAGGAGTGTTCATTCATATGAGGCTTAGCCTCTCTAATTGAGAGGTTGACAAAAAACAATTTATTGGGTTGTCGGAAAATTCATGATGTATTTTTTTCTATGTTTTCCATCGCAAAAATGCATCATGACTTTTCCAACAATCCAATAGATCCTTTAAAAACCTAGAGTGTTGTCAGCCAGGCCAATGGCAAAGGCAATTAGGCAAGAGTGTCTTCAGGATATCTGCATTTTCAATTTCTTATTTTTGTCCCTCTTTCTTGGTCCCCTTTCTTCACTCCTTTTTAGAATTCCTACCTTCATGACCTCCTATCCCCCCACCACCACCACCACCACCAAACACACACACACAAGTCCCACATACTCCTTGCACCTTGGTGTATTATTACTAACACCTTAGGGAGTTATCTATGTTACAACCATCACATATGACCTGGCACCCATTCCTTGGGAAAAAAGGAGGAAGTACTGATGATGGAGGATTATGATTGTTTCAATAGGAGCCAAAGGATGGACACATATTCTAGGGCCCCCTAAAATCACAGGAATCACACTGCAAAGTGGGTTACTCCTTCATCAGTGTGAAGGCTGACCAAGAGTACCTCCTGGAAGCAGAGTCAAAACAAAGTGAGTTTGGAAATGAGACATCACTGTTCTATGTCCCCATTCTTACCTGTCATCATGAGTGATGGGTATGGGGCAGGGGATGGAAAGTCCTTTCCACTGGCAGAAGGTTCAGTTAAATACAAATCACAAATCACAAGAACTTTGTCAAATTAGGCCACCCTGCATCCCCAAAACAGAATGTCCTATGTTGAAGCTCCTAAGTCAGAGAAACAAGGGTCATAGGCTACAGAGTCTTCCAGAAAACAGCAGGTGCATAATCGTCACAGACCAGAGACTACTTCCCTGAGCCGTTCACCATAGTGAGTTAAGATTCCTACATAATGATGAACTCTCTTTGGTCACAGCAAAGCTAGCAAAGACAGGAGACTTAAACGCGCAAATGACCACCAGAGACCAAAATATTAGTTTCTCAGGGGAAAAGGAGAGCTTGAAAGGTCAGAGCAAGTGAAGGGCAGTAACAGGAAAGCAGGTAAACCCTTACCTTGCTCTGTGCATACTATGGGTTCCATGAGCCTCTGGGGCAGACAGACCAGCTCAAAGTTTGGCCCTGCTGTCTTCTCCTCAGAGGCCAAAAGAAACAGGATCAAACACCCGCCTTCTGATGGTTTCATGCAGCTTAGTACTTAGTAATGCAGCTTAACACATTTTTTTTAGTTCTTTAGGCAAACATTAAATCATAAAACTTCGCACAGTATTTAAGAGACATTTAGCTGCCAAATGATGAATAAAATGGGTGATTTAGACACTGAAATTCAAAGCTTGCTGTCACTTTTAGCGTCTCATTTCATTACATATTGTAATATACAGAGCTATAACTTATAATGACAATGGCCGTCACACGCAATATATTCCAGAGATCCACTTCTGATACTAGCAGAATATGTTTTAGACAGACTATCGTCCACATGCTACCAACTCACAGAGCTTCTGACTTTGGTTTCAGAGGTTTTATATGGTGTCTCAGAGGCCTAGGCCTAAAAAATCAGGAAATGTTCATTTGAATCTCGACTTAATTTGAGGCTAACTTTCTGGCCCAGGACCCCTGCTGATAAAGGAGATGGTTGTGGATACCAGTGTGAAACAGCCTGTATCCTAATAGGCCAAAGGCACTTGCAGGAGCTAGCTGAAGAGAATAAACACAAGTAAGGCTTCAGTAAATAGAAACTGACATTTAGAAGGTGAATAATCTAGTTTGGTTTCCTACATTGATCAAATTCACTGATTAATTGCTTAGTAGCCCTCTTCCTTTACTTGAGGGGTCAGAGGAAAGAGGCCAGTTCGGAATGGTAATGACAGGGTGAGGGGTGGAGTGCCCTCCGCCATCTTCCTCACCCACGGCTGTCACAGCAATCTACGCAGTCCCAGGCTGTGTGTCCAGGCCCCTGCTGCATGACATGAGAGGGAATCTTATTGGCAATTCCTCTGTCAGCATGGTGATGGTATTGTGGGAAGTTGGACTTTATCGTCGTCGGTGAGTAATTTAAGATTCTTTCAATTTGTTGAGAAGATGGGGAGTGTTTCACTTTGCATGTCCCTATGCTATTTGCAGATTAGCTGGAAAGTTGTTTGAAGTTATCACCATGGAAGTCTAAATCAGGTAGCTTTAACAGGAAACTTGATTGCTGGAAAGAAACCTTAACTCTGTGTGTGTGTGTGTGTGTGTGTGTGTGTGTGTGTGTGTGTGTTTCCCAACCTCTTGTTCACTCATCCCTTCTCCAGTCAAGCAGTGCAAACTCCCCATCACATCATCAGGGTTGGTCTACCCTCCCATGATTGATTGATCCTGTAATCTGGCTTTCTCAGCATCCTGTATTTGGGACATGGAGTCTGCCTTGATTTCACATTCTTGATTAAAGCTTAAATAACAGTTCTCCTACCTAAATTCCTGACCTCTGGTATTTATGTACTCCTGAACCCTCGTTTTAGGGGCCTGCAGCCCTCACCTCTCATCTATTTTGGTTCTGTTTTCCTAGTCCTGAGGTATGCCTGAGGGCCGCTGTTCCTTCCCTGTCCTCTGACTCATGAAAACGCCCTAGGGACCCCTTTTCCATTTCATTATTTCACAGAAGAGTCTCTTGTAGAATCATTGCCCAGATGGGCATAGTTACAAAGCACAGCTGCTGTGGATCTGAGCTGTTTTTTAATGGATGCCCGCACTCTATGCCCAAAAGGACTGCCATGGAAATACTAAAGGTTAACATTCCTCCACCTCAGATTTGCTACTGAAATTAGCAGAGCTCATTTGAGAGATAAATTTGCTCTTTAAAAATTTATTTCCTCTGCATTCATTTTCTCATTCTATAAATGGGAACCTGAGCTCTCATAAAACTGAATTAAAATTATCAAATACTATTGAACTAACCTAATGAAAATTTTAACCAAAAGTCATTGTAAATTAGGTATGTGCTATACTGAGAACACAAGCCTTTGTAAAGTAGATATTGTTCTTACGTAAACTCATGAATGAGGACTTTCTTGAATAAATTACCTCTTAATAACATCAGAGAGTCATTGGCTGGGTAAATATCTCCCTGGAGTATTCACTGAGATTCTTGAATTTAAATATTCAATAGAATTTCATATTTGTCACCTTTACTAATGAGTTTTTCTTTGTGAAATCATTATTAGCATGAAAAAGTTAAACTTTGTGTCTAATTTTTTGAATTAATGCTGTTTAAAAGACCTCAAGGGGGTGAAATTTGTCCTCCCAGAATGCAACATTTACATAATTTCTATTGCCCCAACATTTATTCTCCCCAATCCACTGTCAATTTGCTACCTTAAGCAGGAAGGGAAAAAAATGATCAGACCAGCCAGATGTCTGGGAATTTCTGCTAAAGAGGAGCCATGGACCGTCTCAAAGGACCAGATAGTAAAATCATGTGTTCCATTCTAACATGTGTTTTGAGCATCTAAAACTTTTACAGTGGTTCTTTCTAAACCACATATTCACGGCAAGGGTTATGGCGGCTTCTACATATACTCGTATAACACTCATGAGCATATTTCTCAAAACTGTTAAATGATTCCCTGAGGTATAAGAATCTGCTTGATTTTTGTTACTCAGGAGCTTTTTG